TGGGCAAACGCCTCTCAGCTGGAGGCTGGGACAATCATAGCGATCTCATTTGCTTCTCATCCCTCAGAGATCAGCCCTTCCTTACTTACTGTCTAATTTCTGAAAAGAGTTGTTATGTTCAGACCTGTTTTCAGTGGAAGTATACAGTGGAAGATTCAAACTGATATCTTGCCTTTTCTTAAGATTCATAGCAATTGGTAACTATTCAGAGTTAGTGACTCTAATATTTACCTGTTCCCACCCAAAGATGGTATCATGTCCCAACACAATACATCTAGCCTCTGGCTCCACCATGACCAGAGTGGAAGTTCTCTTTGTAATAACTCATTTGTAATTGGTCTACTTCAAACGATTTGAATTCAAACTCTTTTCTTTTTTGATAAAATATTAATATATATATATGCTCTATGTACAATATATATGTGTATATATGTACAACGTTTTTGTTTGTACTAACCTGAGTTAGAGTTGCTGAAGGGTTTACCTTAAATGCTTGAATGGAAATGGAATTTAATCTCAACCCCGAGCAGTTAAAAATTGGAGGTCTGCCCAGGCTATCAGATGGGCTTTGGAAATCTGCCAGCACGGAGGACCCTGCAGGTCCATAAGATTATGTGTTAATTTTCAATTACTCTGCTTTTCTGTCTTTCAAAAAAAGATTGAAAAAAATAATTCCTGTGTTGCCTTGGAGAGAATTTCACGAATACACACAAGCTAGCTGTTTCATGACCAGGCGGAGCCCTCACGACTGTGCTTTTCAACCAAACCCCGTTTCCTTATTTCACAGGAAGGAAGAGAATCAGTGGCGCGACTCCACAAATGGCTAGCTGCTGGCGCGACCGATTTTATTTTGCCTCCTTTCTCAGTGTCCCCAGCACCTCTTTTGTTCTCAGCCTAAAAATACAGCAGATTGTGGCTTTTGTCATGTTACAATATTCATAGATAACAAGATGAACTCTTTATCTGGCGCCTGGTCAGAAAGCCATTTTAATATTATTATAGAGCAACTCATCTCTCTCTTTTTTAAAAAAAATATGTTTTATTGATTTTTTACAGAGAGGAAGGGAGAGGGATAGAGAGTTAGAAACATCGATGAGAGAGAAACATCGATCAGCTGCCTCCTGCACACCCCCTACTGGGGATGTGCCCGCAACCAAGGTACATGCCTCTGACTGGAATCGAACCTGGGACCCTTCAGTCCACAGGCCAACGCTCTATCCACTGAGCCAAACCGGTTAGGGCTCATCTCTTAATTTGGTCATGTTTCTACAGCTTAGATGTAATATTTTTACTGTGAGATCTTCTGGCCTTTAAAAACTGCTTTTCCTTCTTGTAAAGTATGTAAGTCAAAAAAGTTCTAACTGATAATATCTTGCCTTTTCTTAAGATTCATAGCAATTGGTAACTATTCAGAGTTAGTGACTCTAATATTTACCTGTTCCCACCCAAAGATGGTATCATGTCCCAACACAATACATCTTCATAAACCGAACAGAACAGAAAGCACGATTTAACCCTTGAGAGAAATGAAAATGAGGTGGGAGAAAAAGGGTCTCTTGAATTAAGCCTGTGCAAACGGAGATATGACATAATATACTTACACATACAATTTCTTTTCAGAAACGATTAAAAAAAGAAGCCTATAGCTATGTGCCTCAGTACATCTACCTTCTCCGGGGACAGCAGACTCCCTCTTCTGGAGAACTGACCCCCACCAATTTTGGAAAACCCTTGGGTAGGTAACATGATCCAAGACGGACCAAACAGAACTTTCTTGGGGAGTTTTCAACTTGGAATAACTATCATCCCTGGGATCCTGGGACTTGGTTTGTGTGCCTCTTATGACTAGAGTTCCAGAGAACAACTGGGTGTAGCGGTGATTTCTTTAAGTCTTCGGTATGATGTTGCCAGGGAGGGAGGTTGTCTGAAAGCCTACTGCCTCAGCCCACCAAGGGTGAGATAATGAAGACATCTAGGGTTTTATGGGAGTTGCACTGTTCCAGAAACTCCAAACATAAACCTCAATGCTTTGGCAGGGTGGGGTAGGGCGGCTGCCCCATCATGGAGACAATCTGAGGCTCTGGGTGTTTCTGATACAAACGGCCAGCCAGTCCTCTCGTCCCCTTTTGGAGCCTAATCCCCAGAACGGACTCTTCCGGGCTCCTCTCACCATCCGCTTAGGCTTCAGATTTTTCCAGTTTGTAACATCAGTGACCACTCATCCATCGGCTTCGCTGGTTCCAGAATGTTGTTGCTATAGTCTCCTCATTCATTTTTCTTTGTTCTTGTGGGTTTTTGCTTTAAAAAGTCTTGACTGTCATTTTGGTGGCATTCCAAGAAGAAACACAGGCGAATGTGGCTTAACATGCTGCTTCTGTTCATTCCATTTGCCCCCTTCCTTAAATTACAATTATCCTATTTTCAGATTTCTACTTTTGTATACTGGATGTTTGCGTGCTTAAAATGTATCATTCAATCCACGGTAGAAAAGGTTAATGAATCACAGAAAGACACATCTAGACTTGATCTGGACGAGCGGACATAACCCAGGTTTCCGGGACCCATCCTGCCTACAGGAGGCGGTAAGACTCCCAGGAAAGGCGTGCGTGCGTTTGCAGATGTATATGGAAAGCTGTATTATGTGAAGAAGGAAAACTCCGGAAATAGAAGTGTGTGTGGGTGTGTGTATGTGGGCATGGACATACTTTTGCACACATCTGTGTGCTGGGTAGCAAAACAGTGGTCTGCCAACAACCTCCATTATTTCTCCTTCCCAGGATCACTCTCGTCTGTTCTTAACGGTGTAACCCATCATATTCACACAGGATGGGCTATAATACAATCCTTGGAGTTTTCTCATCCACGGGAGACACGCAGCCCTACAAATGACAATGCTAGGGATGTGTGTGTGGAGCGTCACAAGTGACAATGCTAGGGATGTGTGTGTGAAGCGTCACAAGTGACAATGCTAGGGACGTGTGTGTGAAGCGTCAGTGTTGAGAAGTAGCTGTTCTCCATTATTTCTCCTTCCCAGGATCACTCTCGTCTGTTCTTAACGGTGTAACCCATCATATTCACACAGGATGGGCTATAATACAATCCTTGGAGTTTTCTCATCCACGGGAGACACGCAGCCCTACAAATGACAATGCTAGGGACGTGTGTGTGAAGCGTCACAAGTGACAATGCTAGGGACGTGTGTGTGAAGCGTCAGTGTTGAGAAGTAGCTGTTCCGCAGGAGGAGCGAAGGAAGACCTAGAGAGGCAAGAGATGCAGGGCACCTGGTGGCGTTTCAGTGGCTTTTGTGGCCCTGGACACGTCCACCCTTCCCTTTTTGCCTTTGTGGGTTTGTGCCTTTCTTTTCCCTTTTACTGGAGTAGGAACACATAATGAGATATATTCTCTTAAATCTCTAAGGATACAGTAATGTTAACTATTAACACAGTGATATATAGGAAATCATTAGAACTTTTTCATTTTGCTGAGGGGAGAGAGAGAGAGACAGAGAGAGAGAGAGAGAGAGAGAGAGAGAGAGAGAGAGAGAGAGAGGAGCTTATGTTCTAGAACGAACACTGTACCATTCAACTCTGCCCAAAAGAAGTGGTTTGGCTATTCCCCTGCTAGAAGTATTTCAGCAAGACTCTGGGCAAGCGCTCTTACCTGGTCTTGAGTCTCCATGAGAATAACTCTGTATTATCAGGTCACTCTGGTTATTAAATCCCTAAATCCTCTATTCCTGGGTAGCCATAGGGTTTCCTACTTAGCTTCTTCCTAAGGCTATTTTCCAAACTTGCCTGATGAAAGAATAACCTGGAATACTTGTTAAAAGTATAGCTTCTCAGGCTCTCAGGATCTGTTGGTCCAGAGGTCCTGAGACGTAGTCCCAGATAGTTGTATTTTTAATAAGGGACCCAGGTGATTCTTCTCAACAGTCAAATTTGGGAAACCTTGCTCTAGGAGTTATGGCCAATGGGAACAAACATAGTTGATCTCAAGTATTATACAGTAAGTCCTTACTTAACGTTGTGGTTCTTGCAACTGTGGGGAAACTATGTATAATGAAACCAATTTTACTGTAGGCTGATTGACATAAACAAGACAAGTTCCTACAGCATTTCATCAATGTTATGAGGAAATGACATTGAACGAAATGATGCTATTCGAGGACCTGCTGCATATTATACATTAAGTCTAAGTATTATTAACCAGATGACATTTCTACAGCTGAATTACTCCAAAGCAATCAGTACATGTGGCTTTCTTCGGGGAGGAGTTGCAGAGTGGGTCGGAATGCCTTTGTTGTTGTTTTTTTCCTTTCGGAGTGATGACTGTTAGAAAGAATTCTTTAATGGCTATGCCCCTGAGGGAGTTTCTGCATCGCTCAGGTCAAGAAACAGCTTACATCAAATAGAAAGCAAGCATCTTATATTCTTTTCAGTGCTGCCTAAGAGAATTTTGGAGAAAATTAAGAAGAGAAAGGAGACACACAGTTCTAGTTCCTTGATGGTCCCTAAAGGAAACTGCTTGTATGACTAAGAGAGGGACTCATGCATTTCAACTTAAATGTTTATGAATCGTGTACAGAATGATTTAAGAGAAAATAAGGGATTAATTTAATTTACACAGTCTAATCAGGACACAGAATCCATCTCTGACACTCAACTCAAGTGCAAAAGTATTGAAATTCATGATTATCAAAATGTTGTTTAATGTTTAAAAAAAAGATCTCAAACATGCTCATTTGTTTTGACACTATGTTCGCTGCTTGTCACAAATGCAGAGTTTCCACCTCAAGGCACCATTCAAAGCAGACTCCTTCAGTTGCTATATGTATGAGTTAGTAGGAAAATAAATAAGGAAAAAGTGGAAAATAATATTAAAAGACAGTGAAAGGAGGAGAGAGCAAGCCAGTCCTCTCTGCCCTGGGGGATCCTCTGCTTCCCAGGCCAGAGCCTGTCCCAAATCTGAGTGGCGACTGAAGCACAAGCCATAACACATACCTCTTGGTGGGAGTGGGCGCTCCGGAGGACATGTGGCTCACCATGGTGTCGTTCATGTTAGACAGAGGGCGAGGAGGGCTGAAAGAAAAGACATTGACATTATATTAATAATCACCAACGTGACTGGGAGGAACAAGTGAAAGAATGATAAGGGCGAGAGAACCGACTGCCATTCCTGATAAGCACAGTGGGACCCACGGGGGTGGGGGCAGAAGTCAATCAATATCCCAGCCCGCAGTCAATTCAACCAGAAGGTTCTCGCAGAGAAGCCGAGGACACAGAGCTCCGACGCACCAGGGGGCGCACCTCCCCGCCCGGTGCAGCTACAAAGGGTTTCTGGCCTTTGGAGCCATGGCTATTGCTAAATATTCCTCGTGGGAAATCTCTTACTTCCTCTCTGAAATGGAAAGAAGTTCTTTTAGAGAAATTTGTCCATCAAAAAAAAAAAGGAAAGGAAAGCAGCAAAATCCTTCTCTTATATTTAGGTATTTTGGTAACTATCTCCTGGTTTCTCCTACCTTTAAGAGCTGAGTTAACTGTATAAAATGTTTTTGTAGAGGTTATACTTAGCAAGTCTTGGTAAATATTAAGGGACCAGAACCTTTATTGTTTTATAGATTTCACAGTACTTTCATACATACATATGTCAGAGAGGAAGGGAGAGGGAGAGATAGAAACATCAATGATGAAAGAGAATCATTGATCAGCTGCCTCCTGCACGCCCCACTGGGGATCGAGCTCATAACCTGGGCATGTGCTCTTGACTGGTCTTGAACCTGGGACCCTTCAGTCCACAGGCTGCTGCTCTATTCAATGAGCCATTGGCTACGACGCACAGTACTTTCTAATAAAGTCTCCAGTGAAAATTTTTTAGGTAGAGCCAAGGAACCAAGAGGAAAGGTTAAGAGGAATGGATGGATAGATCTCTACATCTATCTATCCACTTCCTTTTTTAAAAAACCAATCTCATTTCTGGGTAGGGAAATCTTTTAAATAATTTCCCATTTAATGAAGAGGATCAAAGATAGAAAGTAATTTGCAGGGAACAGATTTGGGCCTCTTGATTTTTAAGCCACAGCACTATGCTCACTGTTACACGTTCCTCCCTGTGTATGACAGGGCCATCTGTCAGACATGCAGAATTAAAGTACGCCTTTATAGCTAGACTTCACATCGCATTACTTATATTACTACCTGTCTTCCAGACAGATATGCACTTTTCCCCCCAAACTTTCATGCCTATTAACACTATTGGCTTTGCCGAGTTATAATAAATCAATTGTTTTAGGTTGACTAATAATGGAAATGAACGCAGAGATTGGGTTAATTTTAGTCCTAAATTTACATTTTTGCCAGTGGTTCTCTTAATTGTCCAAATGGAACAAGGAGATAATTCCTATGAAAGAAATAAATAAAGCATCATAGCTTTTCATTCCTGAGGGCACCAGAGGCATTCTGGTCCTGGAAACAGAATGGACTTTGCTTCTCTGATATATTATTATTAGCAACCCATTTCCAAAATAAGATAAGGACATGTTCATGTTGCTTTCAAAACTAATGCAGTTACATAATGTGTATCGGTATTGAAGATACTGTATTCAATTTCCTTTCTGACATTCTCAGGAAAAAAAAATGACAATAGAAAAAAATTTAATTCCTTATACATGGATCCATGTGATAAAATATCATGATTTGTAGCATTTTGTTTGATCTGATGTCTCAAAAGTCTTTAATAATCATCTCTATCTCTTGGCAAATATCATGTCCAATTATTATGTGACAGCACACATATGAAAGCCTCTTTTCTAATATTCAAAACCAGACAATAATGTAAGCTGTAAACTATTCGTTAACTGCCCCAAATTTCATACCCCTTCTGAACTTCTAGCATATTTGATAAGGAAATGGGTATGTGTTTGCAGTCCAAGATGAAAGAGACATTTGAAAACATAAAGGGGATCTTTACTACAATATCTACCACTAGACCCATAATTCACTGTGAAAGTCAACAGCTCAGATGTTGTCTTAGGGGATTAATACACCAAAATGACTTCTGCTTTAAAAAGTCTTCACAGTTCCTGTAAGGCAGAGCTGAGAACAATGCTTCTAGGTGTGAAGACAGAAACTTACGGAGCAGAACTGACACCCCTCATCAGAACAGTCTTGTTGATCTTCTTTAACATCCAAAACCTATTGAAAAACTTCAACATGTCGCCAGATATTCGATATTTTCCTTTGGTGAAGGTCTTAGCAAAGGAGGATCACCTCACCCCAGGAAGAAAAATATATTTCCAGGGTGTTAAAGAGCTACTGTAAATGCTAAATTATATAAATTAGGACAAAAAATATGGGTTTATGGATAGAGAGGATGTTCTAAGCTCAAAATTGATAGAAAAATTAGGAAGGAAAAGACCAATTCATTTGAAGTATTAAAAAACTCAGGATAGGGAAAAAACACAAATTTGGGGAACTATTTCAACAAATATGACAAAGCAAGAATTAACAATCTTCACACAAATTCATAAAAATTATTAAGATTTCAATGACATAAATGAGCAAAGTGAAAATACACCTTTAAAAAAAAGATATACAGCCCAGCCAGTGTAGCTCAGTGGTTGAGCATGGACCCAGGAACCAAAAGGTCACCGGTTCAATTCCCGGTGAGGGCACATGCCTGGGTTGTGGGCTTGATCCTCAGTAGGGGCCGACTGATGATGTTTCTCTCTCATCGATGTTTCTACCTCTCTATCCCTCTCTCTTCCTTTCTCTCTAAAAATAAATTTTAAAATATTTTTTAAAAAGCATACAAGAAACAACATAAAAGCGTTTTAATTGTACAGGTAATTTGTTAAAATTACAGACCACTTCTCTTTAAAAAATGTTTTTCCTCCCTTCTCTCTTTCTCAAATAAAGAAAACATTTCAAATGACTCTACATGATCTCCATTACTAGACTCAGAAATTTGTGTGATTTCTTTATTGTATTTCGAGTACCTGCATATGGAGCAGGCTTTCAAGAAATACCTGTTGATCGTGAGTCAGCACCATGCTGACTGTGTAGAGTGTGTAAGAAGTGATCTTTCTGTTATATTTAGCTTTGGCGAGACTATTCTCTGAGAGTAGAATAGGGACGTTATTAGTTGTTACATTTGGTAGGTATATTTGTAGTATTTGCAGCCGTGGTAAGTTTCCATCTGTGACTTAGTAATGGAATCAAGAGTGAAGAGTGTCTCTAATAACA